GCTAGAAACTTCTTGTGTCTAAATCCTAGCAGAAGGATAAAAAATTTACACCTGGCATTTATACAGCTGTTTAATATAATAGTAATATATTATATAATAGTAATAATTAATATAATAGTAATAACAACAAATTCACTTTCATGGAAACCCACAGAAATGGGTGTTTATGGAGGAAAAACAACAAATAAAATAATCATGAAAATCTAGGTTGCAGTCTTAGGGACCACAAATACCACATTTATTTAGAAGAAGCTCTGACTGAGGAATTATGGTCAGTTCCAGAGTAATCTTATTAATGATCTATTTGAAACCTCAAATAACAGGCTAAGGAGAAGAAGCAAAATCTTTTGCCAAAAGTCACAAAGCTAATTAGTGCTCAGGGTATTAGAGCCCAGTCCATAGGACTAATAGCCTCTCTCAATTTCACTGAGCTGCCAGTAGGGTAAGCTTTGATTCAGTCACATTTTTACCAGAATCTTCTTTACATATGTCATGTTTTTAAACACATTATTAGAGACAGATGTTTGCTCTGTGATGATAGGATGATCTAAAACCTGCTTGCCGACTTTTTGGCTAATTTTATAACTTTCTCATTATTAGGGCTATTTAACAAACATAAGTAGTTGGTCGAAGTATAATAGAACATGAGACTCACTGAATGTTGCTTTTTCACCTTCTTTAAAGGGTTGAGTTCATGAGTGAAAAATACAAGCAAAGAATAGGGTGGGAAAACGTGGCTCGACATTAAACCAAGGACCCAACATTAAGCCAACATAAACCAAGGGCTAAAAGACAAATTCTTGATTGTCTTCCTTTAGGACTATTAAATGATGCATTAAATTACGGTGATATTTTTGGCACTCAAGGAAACCTTTCCATGCCATTTTGTAGAAATCTATAATTGTCCGTACTGACTGGCTAGTATATTCATCTATTTTTATACTTAGGATTTGCATCCTACTTCTCTGATACACTTTATGTTTGGTTACAATAAAAAATGCATTAAGACTGTGTTACTGAAATTCTCAATAAAGTGGTTAACAATCTTGGCATGTAAGTGGCTATAATTACCTTTCTAGGTTACTAGTACTAGTAAATTGAATAAGGAAAGCTTTCCCTTCTGTGTCACCCTTCCACATCTAGGTTTGTGATTTCCAAAAGGCAAGATGAATTAGCTTTTAATTAAAAAAAATTTTCCTGATTGTAGAGATAATAGATCTAGGAAGGAAAATAAATGATATTCTAGAGAAATCAGCAGAAATTCATAGGCTCTTAAGCCTTACAGAGCCAACCAATTTCTGTTGCTTCAGGCTTGAATAATTATATTGAAGTGCAATAGATTTGAATTCCTTCTAAATTCCTAAATTTGGGAGGAGAATATATTCCTATTTTACTCTTGGAAAGGAAAGGCAGAAGAATATGAAATCATTCCAGCCGTATCTAAGAGTATTAGAATAGTATGAGGGCTCCTATATTTGCTGTGTTCCCTCTGATGGGCACAGAGATAAGAGATGATAGCTGGTGAATCACTGTTCTATTTTATCTAGAGACCTGAGTGCTCTCACTGCTCTATTCCCTTAGGGGGTCGTGCTCCTCTGCTTAAAAGAATATTGCCTGCTCTGTGAGCTAATGATTTGTTTGGAGGATGGAAGTCTCAGAGGTGAAGATAACTGCACAGCTTTTATAATGTATTTTTCAAATCTTTGATCTGCTTTTTTTGTGAATACACGGGATCTCTCTATAGTAAGATTAAAGATGTCTCTTCAGCAAAGAAAGGCAGAATTTGAAAACCTAAAAGCTGCTCAGACTTCCAAATAACATTCTGTATTTCTTCATTTCGTCAACATCATTCTTAGTGTTGTCCTGTATTCACATGATAATTGCATGGTAATCAAAATACATTACTGGATCATAGGGTGGTTTTTTTTTTTCTTCCATATTTTCCAAGGAGGCAGGGAACTCTGTATCTTGTTTTAAAAAGTGGTTATTGCAAACTAGTTTATGGCTAGGACATATATACTTATTTTAAATTCTATTTAATTTGACAAATATATACTTGTTAGCTAGTAGATGTCAGACACTGTGCCTTCTTTCATAGGGAATACCTTCTTTCATAGGGAATACTTTCATACTCTCATTGGGCAGATAAGGCAATTGCAGAAATGGCTATGGTCGGATGTACAATATGACAGATAAAAACTGTTTGGAGAAAAATAAATGACATTCAATATGGGAACACAGAGAAGAGGTAACATTCAAGTGAATGGGGTATCAGGGGAGATTTTAGCATTTGAGAAGGACCTTGCAAGACCAACAAGATTTCTCTGGATAGGGTTGGAGCTGGAAGTGATTATAAGGTACATTGCTCATGTGAGTGTGCGGAGGGAGGTGGGTATCCAGGGGAGGGAGGTGGATGAGAAGCTTGTATTTAACTTGTAGTTAACAGGGAGCCAATGGAAGTTTTTAAGCAGAGCAAGGGTAGAATAATAAGAGTGTGGTTTAAGAAATATTTTAAAGTAGATTTTAGTACATTTTGAGCTAAAAATATGTCGATGTAAACAAACAAAGTGTGTTTGATAATGTCCTACAGGTTTTATTTCAAAATAGAAAATCTACCACTAAAAATGTTAAATATGCCAGCAGTATAAGAATTCTCATTTATACTTGAATCTGAAAGATTATTATTTCTCACTTTTATAATGATGTAGCTCATCCATGCATAGATTTCTAATCTCAGTCAAACGAATCATTAAGGGGTATACTTCCTAGCATTCTGCAGAAATTAATCTTCTCTACCACATGAATATGAGTTTTTACTATCTGAATAATATTTTGAAGTGCATTTTTTGTTCTGCTCCTAAGTCCTTTAGAACACAACACACCTTTACAAAAAAAAGTGAAGAAAAAAATGTAAAAAGAATAGAAACATAAATAGCTTTATAGAGTAAAGAAAATCAAAAGACATTATTTAAAAGCCCCAAATAGGACTGCAACAAATAGACACATGGCTCTGATCAGAAACTTTGAGGAGTATTTTTTTTTTCATGATTATCATTTTGGTGGTTGGAGCTTATCTGAGATAAATCTGAAAACATGAGTAGCTCCATTTATTCTCTACCAAACCTCGTATCAGAGCAAGTAACCTAATAAATGGATCATATTTTCTCTACTTTATCTCCTGAGCAGAAAGAGTAAGAAACTAAAGGGAAGATAATTCAAAACTATGGAACAAACTCCCAAATATATAACAAGACAACACCCTGAAGTAAGCAAAATATTATCTAAAAGTAGTTAATAGTTAACCATAAATATCTTGGGGCACTTGCACACATTGAGATTCAACAAGCCACCTTTTGAAGACTATCTCGTTTCCTCTAACTGTGCATATATTTGGAATGATACCTTTCCTTATTTTATAACTAGAGGACAGACAGTGGTAAGTGTTATTCTGCTAATGTAAAAGAGTCAATAAAATTCCTTTGTGCCCAATTTACTATTTATTCTATGGAGGAAATAAATGCCAAAAGACACTATTGTTTTATCTAAACAGCCTGAGCAAAAAAGGTTCCAAATAGGAGATGCTTCTTCAAGTTACAAATTTTGCCTAATGATTCCATTTAAGTTATCCCAAAACATTTCAAATATTTTGCTTTAAAAAGTTTGATTTGCAAATGAATAATTGGCCAGCTGAGTGGCTCAGTTGGTTAAGAGCTCACTCAAGAGTTTGAGCTCTGAACAACAGTGGTTTGAGTCCCGGCCCGAGCTGAGCAGCTGCTGAGCTGCCAACACAGGTTGGCAGGATGGCTCAGCTAAAAAAAAAAAAAGTGTGTGCAAATGAATAATTGTATCACCCAAGGTCTGTCATAGAAAGTACTGTTTCCATTTAAAAAAAAAATCCTATTCTAAAATTCTTGACTGAGGACTAGAGCCTAGTCAAGTTGACACACAAAGCTGATCCCTCTAGATATTTGTTTTTAATTGACTATTTTGATTAATTATCACAAGAAAAAGTATATAGGGAAAAAATGGCATTAAGCAAAATTAATATCAAATATTTTCTAAATTACTATTCCAATTTAAACTGATAAAACTAGGAAAATTTACTGTCATTGGAAGAGTATAATATTATTAGCATCTATGAACACTTGTTCTTGTCAACAAGGTACCCCAAACACTTTTTAGAAACATAAACTTATTTCACATTTCTTAGAACTGATCAGTACTTATTGTTGAATATTAAGATAAGTGAAAGAAAACAGCATGAGAATGGCGAATTATCAAGTTGTAGAAATCACTAGCACTATTTTATGCTTTCCTTAAACACTGGAGTTACCATATAGCATGAAAATACATCCAATATTCACACAGAAATGAATACATAAAATTAAAATTATCAATAAAATGAAAATCACCAATGACTGAGTACACCTTTCCAATGAGAATGACTTGGCCATTAAAAATGATATAAAAACTAGGGCCGGCCGAGTGGCGCGATGGTTAAGAACTCGCTTGGGATGCCAGAGGGCCCCGGTTCGGATCCCACATATGAGGGCCAGTGACACTGCCCTCCACAGCTAAGATGCTGAACAACAGCTCAACCTGGAGCTGGGCTGCCTTGAGTTGCCGGCGACGGCGTAGGCTGCAGCCCCTGTGGCAGTGGGTTGCCATGGGGTACCCTGGGTTGCCATGGGCTACCGTGTGTAGCCAGCAGCCAGCGTGAGCGGCCAGCAGCCAGCGTGAGCGGCCAGCAGCCGCAGTGAGCGGCCGTCCAGAAGCCGGCGCCTGATCTGCCTCACCAGGGAAGAGCGCAATGACGGTGCCAACTTGGGCCAGTGAAGCAACATCCTCCACAACGAGATTGAAGAACAAAAATGACAGCAACTTGTCTGTTCCCCTTCCCTCAGTTCCCCAGCACTGTTCCCATCCCCCCAATTCCCCAATTAAAAAAAAAAATCTTAAAAAAAAAAAATAAATAAAAAAAAATAAAAACAATGCCTTACTAAAAACTGGATCAGGCGCGATGCTGCTTCTGCCCTCCTTCCATGATAGTAGATGGTTAAGGCTGGCGAGGTCTGCAGACTCTATATAATTGCTCACTGTCAGCATCATCTGATGCGCTTTTGCTATTCCGTAATGAACTTTTGTTTCCTCCATCAGGGGAATGTTTGTTAGCTCTGTTGTTGTGTCGAAAGCTTGCTGAAAGTATGCAGAAGCTTTGTTGTAGTATCCCTAAAAAGTAAGAGAAATAATTTTTTCTTAATTTTACCATTCCATATATCTGCCCACTTTTGGCATGTACCATGCTGTTCTTTCAACAGTTATAGCAGTTCATCGTCAAGAAGAAAGGGATGGCAAGCAGGGTCTCTGCTAGAACGAGTTACTTTTTAAGTCATGATTGCTAGCCATGCAATATCTTGGAAGGTTTTTTGGAAAAAAAAGTTCAAATATTATCATAGCATTTTCATAGGGTTCAACCTACTATATGATAGCAAAAAGAAGTATGGGAAAGAGTGAACCAATTCACATTGATTTGGATGGAATTTTATTACTTGTAGCATTGGATTTACCTCATGAAGTATTTCTAACCAGCTTTAGTTTATAGTCACAGCAAGAGATCATTTTCAGCCAACCCGTTTAAACAATGACCAGTGACAACAGATGCATGTATCTACTGCTTTGGTTATTAGTCTTTTTTTTTTCCCCACATGCACATGCTATTCTTGACTAGAACGTGGAAGCATCTGAGATTTTTAAAGAAAATATGACCTCGATAGCACTAGCACAACTCATATGATCATTTAAATGTCTATCTATTCTCCAAGTTCTTTGCAACATTTTAAGTTATAAAAATTCAAGGTTTTGTTTCTTCTGGTCATCTTCACCTCTTCTCCTAAAAGCTACTGTCCACAAACAAATAATGTTTCCCTAACTCTCGGGAAGTGTCAGGACCAGTGCAAAGTACTTCATATGTACTATGTCATTAGCTTTCAGAAGTCATCCTATGAGAAAATACTCATCTTTTACAAATAATGAAACTGAGTCTAAGAGATGAGACTATCTTTTGCCACTCCCCCTGCACCCAAGTATTCTGAAAATCCTCATTAAAAACTCTTCCTCGAAGGAGGATATTATTTTTAGGATTGAGCTATGTTTGTAAAGACTTTAGGAAACATTTCCTTTCTTCACTGACTTATAACACTTTGGGCACCTTCCCCTCCTCTCCTCTCCCCTCCCCTCTCCTCTCCTCCTCCTCCCCCCTTTCTCTCTCTCATACACACAAACAAAAACATACATGCACACTCTTTTGAAAAGAAACCCTTACTAGAGAGAATATTTTATTATGAATTTTCAAGTGATTTTTCTCACAATATTTTATGAAGGAATTGGAAATAAAAACACCATAAAAACAGCTTTATAGCATACACTAGCACAGGTAACATGCATACCCAACTCCACATACCTCTGCATAATCATGGAGTTCAGCAAACTGATTGAGTAAAGAAGTTGCTAGCAAGGTGAGGAGGGGGAGAAATAGGGCTTATGTGACAGTTATGCTACATACATACACAGCACATACAATCATATTATGCTATATGCCCACAAGAACAGTTTAGGTGCATTCAAATCGCTCATTCTAATTAAATTTGCTAATTTAAACAGAGTCCCTGTTTATTATATCAATGATAATTTTTATTTGTTGAAGTAAACAATTCTTTCTCTTATTTTAAAGTATAAAAAAGAATTTATATGAGAATCAGATTACTCAATTAGGAAAAAATAAAATTGTATCAAATATATTTGTATGCCAATTACTTAAATTATATGATTGAGAAACAATACAAACACTGAATATGAAAATAAAGCACATAATTATAGATTGTCCTGCTAGACATCAAATATTCAGGACAAAATATATGAACATCTATGAGTAGGCCAAACATTTCTATTTTTAAAAAGCAAAGTATAAATATCTAATTATGGGCCAGCCGAGTGGCTCAGTTGGTTAAGAGCTCGCTCAAGAGTTTGACCTCTGAGCAACAGCAGTTCGAGTCCCGGCCTGAGCTGAGCAGCCGCTGAGCTGCCAACAGGTGGCAGGATGGCTCAGCTGAAAAAAAAATCTAATTATTATTCGAGTTACAATTCTGAGCTTTAGGATATTTATTGTTCTAGGTGAAAGTCTCAGGAAAATTTGGGGCCATACATAAATAAACATTTAAATTTCCAGAATTATTTTTGTATATTATTTTGTTTGTTAAAACAAGCTCATTCATCCACTGGGCAAACCCCATGCCAGGAGTAGGAATTCAACAGTGAATCGAGCTTATGGTCACGTAGGTGAGCTTGGTGCTAGTGGAAGTATTCATATGCCTAAAACTTCTACTACATCTTACTTAAGAAGTGCTTTTTTATCTCTAAAACAGGATCATTATAATTAGGTAACTATTCTTCCCTTAAGTTGTTCCTAGTTTTCAATCTTTAGACACACAACTGCCATAAAACTGATAGCAACATAAATTTCTCTATAACAATATTAAGGAAATACAACATTAATACTTCTCAGATGCAAGCATTTTTATAATACCTTTTTGGATGGAGATTTCATTGCTGTGCATTGTAGTTCCAGATTTTTAATTCTTTAAGAGTTTAATATCTAAACTTAATCTCTTCTCCAAAGGTTCTGTCTAAACCTCCATGGTTCATTTTAATTAACCCCTATCGTATTATAAAATTCAGAAGATTTCAGTAATTAATTCTGGTAATCTTAAATATGAGTTTGAGAAATGAATTTATACAAATGAATTTATGTACTTCATAACTGCATCTTATTGGAAGAGACAACTTCGTTTAATGTTATAAATATCACTGAGAATCATTTAGTGAACAACTTCAGGACAGGAGCTTGATGACATCATAGACCTTGAAACAAAGCTGGTATTATTACACTATAACATAGATTTTCATGAATGATTCTGGTTCTTACCAGATCCTTTTTGGTGTCTAGAATGTCACTCTTATCTAAAGAGCAAACTCAAAATAAATAAGCATTTTCTTAGTACTAAGAAAGAATCATTTCTTATACATTTTCCCTATTATTTTAGTGTTGGAACTACCATTTTTTTTAACTATGTGGTTATTCTCTTACCTTATTAGGAAATGGGAAATCTCATAAACAGTCCATACCAAGTTATTTTCCCTAAAACATTCTCATTTGACCACTTTATATTAATTACATATTTTCAATTAACAGTCCATGAAAAGGTCTTATGAAAAGGGTGGGATGGGTGGCCCATATTCCAGCAATATGGAGTAAAAGGGTTATTCTACCACATAAAATAAGCTAATTTTTCTAACTAAGAGAAAGGCTGTTTTAAAGATGTGTTAACCTTAATTATAATAACACTATAATAATTACAGAAAACAGTTAACGCCAGTATTTTTCCAAATACAGCTCTATATGATAACTGTGGTCCTAATTTTATTTTTAAGAAATTATTGTTAAGAATATAATTAGAATATATTGCATGAATAATATAACACCAGAAAAGGCAGGATGAGGGCAGTTTGTAGAAGGCTTTAAAGGATAGACCGACAAGTATTGTTAGATTGGCTTTTAAAGATTCAGTACAAGTTTTCAAAATGCCACAACATTGTACAAAAGCGAGTAGAAGTTTAGAATGTCAAAAGTGAGAGGATACTACTCTACAGTTGTATAAAATTGGTTATAAATTTATTGATTGACTCAATGAACTCATATATTTTGCTTATCAGCTCTGTGCCAGGTTCTCTGCTAAGCACTAGAATAAAATGATGAACAAGGCAGATATGATCCCTGTTCTCATTAATCTTCCATTCCAGCCAAACTAAACAACAGCAACAAAAAAAAGAAATAAGTAAGAAAACGATGAGATAATGCTACATGGAAAATGAATGTTGAAGTATAATCTGGTGGGTTCTTTTGTTTGGGGAACCAAGGGAAGGTCTCTGCGAAGATGTGACATTTAACTGAGATCTGAATGACAAGAAACCAGCAACGTGAAGCTCAGATCGGAGAGCATTCCATGTAGAACATTCCAGCCCAGGCAAATGTCCTAAGGCAGGAACAAGGTCCACAGGTTTGAAGCACTCGGCTGTGGTGGAGTAGATCAAAAGGAGAGTGAAAGGCCTAAAGTCAGAGGGGGTGTGCCTCTCACATAGGCTATTTTATATTTGTGTTCTCAGAAGAATGGAAGGAATGGAAGCGTTTTAAGCAGAGAAATAACATGATTTGATTCACATTTTGAAAGGACTACTTGGGCCTCTGTGTGGAGACTGAATTGTATGGAGGAGGAATGGGGAAATGGGTTTGGAGCTTACTGCAGTAGTGCAGGTGAGAAAACGCAGTGTCATAAACTGATGTGATAGTAGCAGAGATAGAGAGAAGTGGGTGGATTTGAGATATATTTTGGAGGCATAAAGATCAGGGTTTGCTTCTGGGTAGAATAAGGAGCAGGGAGGAGAGAAGAATCAAAGAATATACAGGTTTTTGCTTGAGGAGCTGGGTTGGTGGATAAGGATACCGCTTTTTAGGACGGGAGAAAGTGGGAAAGAGTCGATCAAGAGAGGGAGGAAGCATGCTGAATCTGAGCTGTCTGTTAGGGATGCTGGGTAGGCAGTTGGCTTTACAAGTACGGAGTCCCAAGGAAAGATTCGGGTTGAAGATACAAATTTGAGAGTCATCAGCATATGGATATTTAAAGCCATGGGTAGGGATTAGATCAGATAATGGGAGCTCACAGATCGAGAAGAGAAGGGTGCCAACAAAAATGTTTGAATACTTTTCTATCGTGGTTGAACATTAAGTTCATAGATAAATAGAATTTGGGGGAAACATAATGAGTTGAGTTTCATTTCTAGTAGGTCATATTTGAAGAGATCTAAGTGAAGAAGTCAAGTAGGCAGTGGGAAAGCCTGGCGTTGAGGGGAAATATCTGAGTTTGAGGTATTAAAAAGCTAAGTGCTATTGTGTACCAAACCTGTGCTAGGTACCATGTACATATTTTTAAATTCCTAATCCTTATATAGCTAGTCTTCAAGATAAGTTGCTACTGACATTTGAAAGATGAGGAAACTGAGGATCAAAGAATTAACTTGCCTAAGGTCACAGTTAATAAGCCGCTGAGCACAGATTCAAGTTCCGGTGGGCAGAACTCAGTGGAGTCCTGTCCTGCTACAGTTTCCTTCACAGAAAAGCATGGGATGCAAATAGCTTGTGACATTGTTCAGGTATATAACTGGAATAAAGGCATTTAATACAATTAGAAAACATCCACGGGCCGGCCGAGTGGCTCAGTTGGTTAACAGCTCGCTCAAGAGTTTGAGCTCTGAGCAACAGTGGTTCGAGTCAGCCCGAGCTGAGCAGCCGTGAGCTGCCAACAGGTGGCGGGATGGCTCAGCTAAAAAAAAAAAGAAAACATCCACAAGCAACTGAAAGGCAGAGACGTGAAATAATTCTTTGCCAATGTTCTCCTAGGAAATGGCTTTATAGAACAAGAAGGGAATTCAGGATGTCATCGAGGCTATCACTTTGTTTCAAAAAGACGAAAAGGAAGAGTAACTATCACTTAGTTTTAATAAATCTACTTAGTTATACCTCTTGAAATCATGCTTAGTCATGATTTGACAACTCAGAGTAAGCCTAAGAAGTCACCAGTCGATTTTTATTGACTTGAGGAAGTGGCTTCAAAGCATCACAGTAATGCACAAAAATCAAATGCAACATTAACAATTTTAAAAACAAATCAAGCTATGTTTTGAAGCCTACAATATCATAAAATTGTTACAGCACTATGTACTTAATACTATACTATTTATCAGCGACCATTTATTTTAGCAAAATATAAGGAGTCACTAAGGTGTATATGAATCAACTTGTGTGTTTGAAGGCATGTACATTTGAAGATAGCATAAATACCGGGAATCCTCCAATTTTATATTAGAATAGAGATAAACTGGGAAAAAATTAACTTTTGGTAATTGACACAGCTTTTGGATATTATTCCTGCCTCTAGCCTTTAGATATTAAACTCTTCAAGAATTAATAATAAAAAAATAAAATACACATTGATGAGATACAAATTCTTGGTAAAAAAGATGAGAAAATGCAAATATAAAAATATTACCCCTCATAAAGGTAGATGGTTTTATTTTCCTGTGCTTTCTGTAATTAGAAAAATACAGGCTGATACCTGATATCTGTTCTACAAAAGGGCAGAGTTCTGGGTACTGTTTGGGGTAGGATAAATTAATTTGTGCTTTTGCACTTGTGTTTTTGAAGAACAATCCTTTTAATAGATGAGACTATATTTTTATTAGACCATAAGCCTCCCAAGGGCATAAACCCTGTCTTTTTTTCACCATGGTTTCCTGAAAAGAAAACAAAAGCACATACGAGGTCAACAAGAGAGGAGTTGCAGTGATGGGGGCCGCGCAAGGACCACAGTGGAGGAATGACCTGGGTGCGACTGGGGAGACAGATGGGGAAGGGCACAAAGAAAGAGAGGAAACGAAGTTGGGTGGACCAGAGGGAGACGGAGAGACAGCACAGGTTGAGAGAGCCGTCCCGGAAAGACAGGGGCAGGAGAAGGGAGCGAGGTAGGTAGGGAGCAGGGAAGAGGAAGGAGGGTGACAGTTAAGAAAAAAAGGGGGTTTTATGATGGCGAGTGAAAGGAAAGAGGGGAGGCAAATGAACCAGGGTGAATGTGAGAGGGGTATACAAAGAAAAGAGATGCTCCTTAGAAAGCACGTTTCCCATAGTAGGAACTAAAGATAGTGGTTTCATTCATTCAAATTAATTTCAAACTCTATTTCCTTAAAAAAAAAAAGCCTAAATGATTCTGAAATCATCAAAATAATTATATGGCACAAAAAAAGACTGAAGTGGTTAAGAGTATGGGTTTGAATACCACAGGCACCTAGAAGCTTGGAGACCTAGGGTCGGTGAAGGTTTCATAAACCCTCTAAGCCTCGGGAAAAGGGGAATTGTGCGACACCATGTAAGGGTGAAGAGAATAATAATGGCTACCATTTACACCGATGGCATTTACCTCCACTGCCAGACTCTAGTCTAAGCGCTTTCTATATAAATATATTACTGCAATATGCACAACAACCTTATGAGGTGAGAAAACTGAGGTGCTTAGAAAGTAATTAACTTGTCCCAGGCCACAGTCTTGTAAGTGAACGAGTTGGGCTTTTTAACCCCTGCAGTCTGGTCTCAGAATTAGTGCTTTTAATCACCAAACAGCCTCTCAAAAAAAGTAAGACAATGAGTATAAACACAGTTTGAGAATGTAACTCCCCTTAAAAATGACAGATCCTACCCATGATCACAACAGCAATTAGAACTAGAGAAACAAGCCTCTTTCCTACCATTTCTGAAGGAGAATCTGGGTCATAAAATATAAAGTCAGGAGAAAATAAACCAAAAGTCCGTCACGGTCAATGCATTTCACTAGTAATGGCCTCTTGGATGAGATACTTTACTTTTAGACTTTTTTTTCTCTTCTTTCACATAACCAATCTGTTGCTAGAATTACATATTCCCTTCAGGATTGCTTTTGGGATTGCCCTTTCTTCTCCTGAGGGACTCAGCAGGAGCATCGCAGCTGGATTCACAAAACAAGAATTTGGATCAAGAGAGATGAATGTCAGCGTCGGCAGAGAAGAGCCAAGTGTTATAATGAAGTTCCTTTGAATTTCAATAGTTTGATTGCACTTTAAATCTGAAACCACTTAGAAGTTGTGCTGGCTGTGAAAATATGAATCAGTGTTAGCAGCTTGTGGTGACTGCATGGCTCTGAGGAACTCGAAGAAGAGGAAGAAAGAGGCGTTTCTCTTTCCAGGCACCGCCTTGTGCGTCAACTAGGTCCTGCAGTCCAGGGGCCATTGTGCATAACACTGTGGGGAGGTGAGGATCAAATGGAAACAGAACTGAAACATTCTGTACTTTTTCCTCTTAGAAGCAAGAAACGCATATACTCACTTTTTCATTGTAGATGTCACCAAGCATTGTACTTGCTCTCACAGCATCTAGGAACTGAAAATTGCTTCTTAAAATTTTCACAACTTGTTTCAGATATTTAATGGCTTCTGTCATCTCTCCTTGGCTAGAATAAATAAAATAGGAAACTATTTGGGTATCATTTCACTTAAAGTCACAGTGAAGAGAAGACATTTTATGTCTCTACTTTAGAAAGTACAAGATGGTTATCAGGGTAATCAAATTTAAAGTGAAATATCAAATTTTAAAAAGTATGTGGCTGGAGTTCACAGTAAGTTAAAATTTCACCATGCCTTGCTGGTGAAAATGTGAACTGGTGCAGCTGCTTTGCAAAATAACTTGGCCATTCCTCAAAAATTTTAACATAGAGTTACCATAGACCTAGCTGTTCCACTCCTACATACATACCCAAGAGAAATGAAGACATACACACACAAAAATGTGTACGTGAACATTCATAACAGCATTATTCTTAATAGCCAAGAAGGGGAAGTAACCCAAATGTCTATCAATTAAATGGATAGGCAAAATGTTGTATATCCATTTCATGGAATGTCATTTAGCCATAAAAAGGAATGAAATACTGTTGCATGCTATAATATGGATAAACCTTGAAAACATGCTAGGTTAAATAAGCCAGTCACAAATAACCACATATTGTATGATTTCATGTACATGAAATGTCCAGAATAGGCGAATCCATTGAGACAGAAAGGTTAGTGAATACCAGAGGCTGGGGAGAGGGGGACATGTGGAGTGGTTGCTAAAGCGTATGGGGTCTCTTTTTGGGGTGATGAAAATGATCTGAAATTAAACAGTTGTGATATTTGCACAACTCTACAAATATGCTGAAAACTACTGAACCATAGAATTTGAATGGGTGAATTGTAAGTTATATGAACAATGCCTCGATAAGGCTGTTATTTTTTTAAAAAATATGCACATGTCTGGCAAATCTATATTTCTAGCCCCAATTCCCCAACCCCCCATCCTATACTCTACATCCGTATTTCCAATTGTCCAGACGTACTAAGCATGCAAAGGAAGGTAGTGCCCTCCAAGTGACTATCCCCAAAGATGTGACCTAATGATGAAGCTGAGAGCATTTTGGGAATCCCTCTTTAGGAAACACCTTCTTATTGTAAAGCATTCATAAGTAATTTAACCAATTTTGTTCCAAAGAAGGGATTGCCCCTAGAGATTATTACGTGCTTTTTTTACATACGACCCTAAATCTTTTTGGCTGTTTCCAAAGATTGAACCCATCTCTCATACAATGACGTGCTGCTCTAAGGGTCATTCAAAAGAATATGCCATCAGCTCAGACAGCATTTCAAAGGAGTTTAATTTTAAACAGATAGTGGCAGGATTGAGGGTATCAACTTGCATAACCCCCCAAAATTTAAGAGGACAACATTCATTTTTATAGATAAGCTGTGGTTTGTTTGTAAAAATATGTTAGTTGCTTTCAAGTCACAGTGTGCTATGGTGGATATTAGACAGATCTAGGCTTAACTCCCAGCTTGGCCCTTTAGATGAATAACTTTGAACACATCTGCACTCTTTCTCAGCTTCAGTTTCCTCATTTTTAAAATGGCCATAGGTGTTGTGAGGTGAAAATTTACATGCATGCATAGCCTGGCACATGTAGAGAGTCAGTAAATGACAACGAGTATTATTACTACTGCTCAGTGAAGTAAAAAGCTATCATACCCACAGCTTTCTACTTGATATTATCTACCACCAGCCATGAAGCAGAAATGTCAATTTAGCTAAGCAATATTTTTGGAAATCTTTCATTATGCAATGAATAAAACACTATAATTTGAATAGACACTGCAAGACAAATAAGGTCCTGATGACCATTTTCTAGGGGTCAAGTTCAAAGAACTAACATTTTATGTTTACTTGAATATCAGGTACTATCAAATGCATTCTTTTTTCCCTTTCTTATTGGCAAAAGGATACTCTATATAAAAGAAATCGAATGGAATTTCACATTCCCAGAGTTAATATTGTTTTTTAGGATTCTGTTCTCACTTTTTCACAACAAAATTACGAACAATCTTCTTCCACACTTAGGCATAGCTGAATTCTCCAAAAAATTATGAATTGTTTGAGGAATATTTCAAAGACAGATATGGAGCAAAATACCATGAGAGGTGCACTCATTACTTTAATTTACATATTTGTTTTGGGAATAACTAAAATGGTATTGAGAGAGCTTGAGAGTATAAAAATATTAATAAATAAAACATTATACTACTTAGAATTTTGTGCACACTTGTAAATTCCTAGGACTGAAAATATTTTACCAAATTGATGTTGACTTTCCAAGCTCTTTCTTGGACTATAATATTCAAGAAAAAATTGATGACATAAGAAAAAAAGTAGAGATTTCTTTGCATGTCACTTTAAAACCTTAGGGAAAAATTATTATTTTTATTTAGCTAAAATGGGCTCACTGCAATTTATTTATTATGGTTATATTCCTAAAAGCTGATATATTTTTGATGGAAGTACAGTTTGGATTAAGTTTGGCTTGCTGCGGATTGTTAAATCACAACATACACAAACAAACAAACAAACAAAACAAAACAAGTTCAGTGGCTAAGAAATACAAAATAGCATAAATAAAACTATTGCTGGGTGAGTCGAGTTGTTTTTCTCCCAAAGGAGCAACAGATCTCAAAAACATCTAAAATTATCTGGAACTCACGGTAACAAATAATGCTACAGAAAAAGTCTATTATAAATTATAAGCTCCACTCAGTGGACGTACAGCTCTACAGCCAGCAATCCTACTAAGACAGCATTTGAAATATAAACATTATATGTTGCTTGAAGGATTTCCAAGTTTAAAAATCGAAAAGATTGAGATTTAGAAGCCAGTTTTTCTTTGGAATGGAAAGAATCAAATATTTCCTCACCGAAAAGCTACAGATTATTTGTATGAGTTAAAGGACAAGGTTAAAACGTTAGACATATATTAATTCCAGTTTTCTATATGCAGTGCACAGGTGCAACTGCAACAGCGTATTATATGGTATAATCATTCAATTCATTCAACCAGGCCTTAGAGAGTTAAAAACATATATTCTGAGGAACAGGACGCCTCGGTCCAAAGAATGAAAATGAAGCAGCGCAGAATATTTGTGTATCAAGGTGATTCCACTTTCCAACTGGGAAAACAGGACTGTTAACACCCACATCCCCTGACAACTGTCCAATTATGCATATCACACTTGGCCTACTGTTTGCAGTACAAGTAATCAATAAAGGATGTGGTTGAGTGAACATAGATTTTGGTTGAACCAATGCATGAAAACTTAATCATTTACTCAGAGAGAAGAAATCAAATAAGGCAGAGATGAAGCAGCCACTGAGGGGTTTGTTGATTGTGCCACCAAGTTTGTGGGCCACAGACGAAAGTAATAAGGCAAATGGAATCAGTGACAGGAGAAAATGTAAAAAGCTATTCTTAATTTCCTGAATTAATAGAAATGTTTTGATGTATTTTGGGGGGGAGGGGGTCATTTTTAGGAAATCTCACGTCAAAGCCTGGATGTTCAGTGTTAAAGAATATATGAAAATTACTAGGGCATGTCATTTCTCTCAAGCAAGAAGAAATTAATTTCCAGCTATAACAGAAAGGTAATTTTCACACTTGCAACTTTGTGCTGATTGATTTAAAGGTGTCTGCTGTGGAAAGTTTTCTAGGAAATAATTTAATCTGAGTTTGTCAGAAAATTTATACTTGGTAGGGAATAAACCCAAGCTAATTGTGACCAATGTGCTTTAAACGACTCTTATTTTTGTGATTCCCTCCCCCTACATTCTTTAAAAATGGTCTTCCTGATTATGTTGGAAAGTTATGACACTTTGGTAAATGAAATATTTTGGTAAATGAGGCCAAAAAGACGCTGTAAGGAAAATTGAGGGTTCCCCCCAACATCTGTATTTACTCAAATTGTCTGTCTACATGTAATAATCATATTTTAAATTTTATTTTATTTTTTTAAAATTAGTTTCAAGTGTACAACATAGTGCAATATACTTTTTACCCTTCAAAGTGACAACCCCCCACCCCAATCCGCCACCCTACTCCCCCCCATATCATACATATCTATTACAATTCCCTTGACTCCACTCCCACATTATACTCCACATCCTGTGACTATATATATCTATATATATATTCAATTATAGTGCTGGCGAAGTTGTGGACAAAAGGGAACCCTGGTGCACTGTTGGTGGGACTGCAGGAAATCAGTATGGAGGTACCTTCAAAAACTGAAAATGAAACTACCGTAAGAACCAGCAATTCCACTCTTGGGTATCTATCTAGAGAAACCCAAGACGCTAATTAGAAAAAAACATATGCACCCCTATGTTCATTGCAGCACTATTTACAATAGCCAAGACTTGGAAACAACCGAAATGCCCATCGGTAGACCACTGGATTAAGAAACTGTGGTACATTTACACAATGGAGTAGTACCCTGCTATAAAGAAGAATGAAATCATACCATTTACAATGATATGGATGAACCTAGAGAACATTATGTTAAGTGAAATAAGTCAGTCGGAGAAAGACAAATACCATCTGATCTCACTTATATGTGGAATATAAAAAACTGAATAAATGAGTAATGTAAACAGAACTAGTCTCATAGATATAGAGGAAAAACTAATGGTGGCTAGAAGGGAGGGGGGTGATAATCATATTTACTTGGTAATTTTTCAGCTCATTCTCTGTTTTATGGACTATACTTCTGGCTTTCATAGCTGAGTCATAGGCAATTGTTATTATTTGAGAATATCAATTTATTTTTTCACTAGTATTCCGAGCAGAAAAATAAAAGACATCATAAATGCTTATTTTCTCTTATGCTGCTTAATACTACCCAGACTAACTGCAAAAATAACAAACCCTGTTCACTATTCAAATCTTCATCAATAATTCTAATGCCAGGGATAGGACTAGTGTTACCAAATGAGCAACTCTGTATTTTCAAGTGCTCAGTCTTGAGGGAATGTGGTGTGTTTTTCAATTGAAGCCACAATATAAATTCATATAAGCATTTTAGTAGCTTCCAGCCTTAAAGCTTATTCACCTTTCATCCATGCTCAGCTGATGGCCTTAACATGGCTATCCTCCCCCATTTTTTTTAAAGAGATAAAATATGTTTATAGGGATAGGGCTACCATTAGTGGAAATTGTGCAATTGCACAGGCTGGGCAAAAGATATAGAGAGGTGAGGCTAAACTTCGTATGCAGCTTGACACATTTCTCAGCCACCACCAGCATAATTGCCTCTGTTTTGGTTGTGTTCCATTCCTTGCACATTACTACTAATCTGAGGACAGTTTAGGACCATGGAAGGGATATACATATGTGTATGTTGTATGTGTGCGTGCATGCATGTAACAAAGAACACCAAGCCCTTGGAGAGAAAATGCTGCAAAATGGCAGATTTGGACTGGAAAGGCTGCTGTGTCCTTGGGACATTTCCCCCCTATAGCCTCAAAAGAACATCTCCTGTACCTTTCGTGCTTTGCATAATATTATTAAATTAAGAACCCATGTCCACCGTATAAATCATTGATGGCTTCGCTGGTACTTTAGCAGATGGGAGTTCTTAGAAGTGGAATTTGTTTCACATGGCATACAAGTGAAATGGGGATAAATCTTGCCCATTATATGTTTGCTCCAAGGCAGTTTAGTAGAGTGTTGAGTGTGTTGGGTTACAATTGTCCCCATTCCTACCAAAACCATACCCTATTTCATGATATATCAAATACAGCTATATTCATTGTCACACTTAAACCCCAAATAATACTTAAACAGTCAAATTGAACCATTAGATTGTCTGTTATTGTTATTGCCAATATTTACCAGTTAATTGTTCATCTTCCCTTAGCTTTTACTGTATAGACCAGGAATTCAAGTCCTGGGGTGGAAACGAAAATGTTCCAGATGAGACACCAGAGTAACAGGTGAGAATTATTTTAAGATAAGCTCATGTTTTCAGAAGTTTCAAAAATAAATATAAAGACAATCAGTAACCAACAGGGCATTCCAACACTTGTCCTGGGACATAGGTAAGTGCTCAATATATGTTCATAAAAGAAACTATATTTCCCTGGAGTTTTATCTCTTTAGTTATGTTGGGACACAATGTCATGTTGGAAAAACTATTTTATAAATACGTCAAGAGATGCATTTATTTAACTGTACAGGCTTGGGCCAGGTATGATACTACAAAGCAAGACAAGTAATCCAACCATTTTCTACTGATTCTGGGCAGTACTGACAGCAGAGTAAAATAATTTAATAATCAAAATGAGCTGGAGAAAAGAAAACAGCATTGGTGTGTTCCAAATAGACAGTAAATTGAATACTTGTGAATCTCTTCTTCCTGTTCAAGCATCTGCTTCTTTCCAGTTGTTACTTGGAAAGTAAAAGTTTAAGGGATAGCTGGGCTGATCCTCCAAGGGCTAGTTACCAATCCTCATTTAGAGGGACCAACAGCACTCATGCAGTCCAGCCTTCCTTGAGTAAACTTGACACAATCTCTGTCTATTCTTATCATTACTCATACTTTCAAAAAGCTGTGTCTTGCATATACAAGGTAGGACACTTAAGTTCACAAACTCATCCTAGAAAATGTGCTACATATCTCATTGCTGAATATCACTACAGTTACCTTTGAAGTGCTCTCCTTGGGAAGCTATGCACCGACACCAGTGCCTAGTCCACCCTTCAAAGGAATTTTGGAACTCTGTCTGGAATGGCCATCAAAGCTGTCATTGTATTACCCTTGATGTCGTGAATGTCATCAAAATGTCTTCCTTTCAATATTTCCTTTATCTTCAGGTAAAGAAAGAAGTCACTAGGGGCCAGATCAGGTGAGTAGGGAGGGTGTTCCAATACAGTTATTTGTTTACTGGCTACAATCTCCCTCACAGACAGTGATGTGTGAGCTGGTGCATTGTCATGATGCAAGAGCCATGAATTGTTGGTGAAAAGTTCAGGTCATTTTTGTCTAACTTTTACATGCAGCCTTTTCAGCACTTCCAAATAGTAAACTTGGTTAACTGTCCAGTTGGTACAAATTCATAATGAATAATCCCTCTGACATCAAAAAATGTTAGCAACATCTTTCCAACAAGTCTGCGAACTTAATTATCAGACCTCATGAGATGACATATCAAAAACTATGGCCTTAACTTTTAAAACTTTTCTTATTCTTATTCTATTTTGGCTTAAATTATAATGATAACAATGCTACTATATAATGCAATAATTAAATGGAGTATACAACGATAACAATACAATGTGTGAAAGGCCAATCACATATTTTCCGTAGGAAAATTTGTATCAAAAGTTGTTCATGTACACTTTTCTTAAATTTTCTGTTTTAAATGAAATGTTCAGAATGTTGTTTTTGCACCCAATCGTTTATCCAGACACACTCAAAGGAAAGGTGTCTTAATGGAAGAAGCATGACTGAAACATAAACGGAAACTTCCTTCCAAAAAGAGATCTGAAGGTTATGGTGAGCCACAGTTAGTGAAGCGTACTGTGTATTTCTGTGCTCTCTGCTTTTTTTAACCTGTGAGATATGACCTGGTTTTCCCCTTTCAGGCAAGGTCATCACTAAACTTACAGAAAATAAAAAATAACACAAAGGCGGAAAAGACAAAGAAGAGTTGAGGTGCAGATTTTCAAATACTACATTGGTTTAAAACAACTTACGATGAAAGGGTCACGTAAGGAGGGCACTGCTTAAAATGTAAGCAGACAGTAACGGAAAGCGACAGACCTCAAACAATTTCAGTCTTTCACAGCTGAGTGCATTCCCAGTGACAGGAAGACAAGGATGTGCTAACTTACCTCTGCAGGACTTTGGCGATGGCTTCATAGGCTCTCCCCAGGCCGAGATCATCAGCCAGGTCTGTAGAGATTTTACTGTAAGTGTCGAGGACCTATCAGGAAGAGAAACACACATGAAACATACAGCTCAGCCGGATTCACTGATGTTTCATTGCAGAACAGAAACGATGAAAATTAATAGTTGTTAATGTCTCCATAAAATATATATTTTTTTGTTTATTAAAAATTCATGTTGGTTTGGTTTATTTTTAGCTATAGTATAAATTGTTTCACAGCAACCTCTTGAAGTCATGACAGTGAGGTCTTCCTTTTGTGAAAATAACTCTTTCCTGCACGATCCAAAAATCCTCCAATTTAGATAACTTAGGTGTGAATAAATAATTGAATGGCTTGCAACATTATTTTAAAATATGGGACTATTATCTAAAGTAATATAAGTCAGATTATCATACTCTACCATGGTAGCTTAAATATCACTTTTCTTTCGATAAATAGCTGTTTGAAAGGCATGAATTTAGGTGCCAGGCAATCTCTAAATCCATCATTTTATTCAATGCATATCTCACAGTTTGTACATGTATTCGGTATACACTAAAAATATTTCTTACAAATGTACTTCATTACCAACAATCCCTTCAATAATCAAAAGATTATGGCTGCCACAGCCAAATATATGACATTAATTTAATTTAACACTGACATCATCTGTGCGGTATAATTTCCCTTTTTATTCTTTTCCCCTTTCAATGAACGAATGGCCAGGAGGAGGAAAATACGTAAAACAAAATCCCCATTTTGTTCTTCTTCCTTTATTGTTACTGGACCTATTACACACATGAGGACACAAGAAATCTCCAAAGACCTCTGTGGAAACCCTCTCTGCACATTTTCTAAGAAAGAATTAGTGAAAGTCATTTGACAGAGTTGGGAGAGAGTTGGTGTGAACGAGGAGATAAATACACGCTGTGCACTACCGCCTCAATCAGGCAACTGGAGGCTTACGTTTCAGAGGCAGTGCTGATATTCATCTTTACTTTCTTAAAGTTAATATTTGGGAAATAATTTCAATGAGGCCATTGTGATACCTCATAAAATGTGGGTTTCGTGTGGTTTCCAAGCGAGCACTTGGCATATGCTAATATTAAAACTCACTCACTGATACATATTGACCCAGTGTTTTAATTCCCCCTAAACCTGCACAGCTCATTTTTTTTACTCTTATTTCAACCTTTGAATAATCTTTGTATAAACCTGAAATTATTCTTCTCACTCTGTGTTGCACAACTGACAACAGCTAGATGTAGTCATGGACCTTTCTGAGCTAAGGGGCAGAAGCCCTGAATTTTGGGAATTTATAAGACACATTATTGAATCCAAATATCAAAATGTAGGAAGAGATTTTCTAGCACCTTTTTTGTTCCATATATTTTTATAGGACATTCTAGATCTTTAAGATTGAGTATTATATTTTGTGTCAAAAATAGTTTGTTTATTCAGCAAATATTGTTACTATGTGCCAGGTGCTACATTAGACCTTAGAAAATCTTAAATGAAAAAGAACATGCTTGCAACCCTTCAGGTATTCACAGTCTAGTGAACAGGGTATGGACTGATGCAATTGTGTGAATTAGCAAAAACTGAAGGCAGGTTTCTCCAGAGCTTACACGGTGCTGGCCGCACCGCTCCCCCTGGCTCCTGGTCAGCCTGAACCCTGAAGCAGTACAGTAACCTGTGGGGGTGCCCAATTTTATCTTAGAGGTGTGACTCTTCAGCCCAAGGAGAAGAAGTAGGTGCCCAAGAAATTACAGGTAGATACTTCAGCGCTGATGGCTCCTATCTCACACCAGGGTGTCATGCTTCCAAGGAGCAACAGGGGGCAAAACCCAGCTCAGGCTCTATAGACGCTTTTTTGACTCTATAGATGCTTCCTCACGGAGCCAGATGTGGTCTATTGGAATGGACACTAACTTTAGAGTAATAAGAGTTGGTTGCAAGTCCTAATTCTTTCATGCCCTACAAGTTCAGTGAGCCAAAGAAGTCAAAAGTCAAAAAGAAAATTCACCTCTGAGAGCTGCTGTGAGGCTACCATGAGATATGATTGAGAGCTGTGTAAACCTCAGGACAGGGAGGCTTTGGCAATCTGTTAACCAGGCATCAGTAAACGGCTCCTGGTAAAAGGTT